AAGCAGTAGTCAAAAACATCAGTGTACTGCAGTGGCTGCAAAAGACCTCTGTATAGTGTCCAAAAGCAAACATGTCACTTTGAGGACTAAGGTGCACCTGACCCAAGCCATGGTATTTTCAATTGCCTCATATGCGTGTGAAAACTGGACAATGAATAAGGAAGGCTGAGGAAGAACTTTGGATTATGGTGTTGGCAATACTACTGAATACACCACGGACTGCCAGAGAATGAACATATCTGTCTTGGAAGGAGGAGAGCTAGAATGTTCCTTGGAAGCAAGGATGGCAAGACTTCATCTCTTGTACTTTGGACATGTCATCAGGAGGGACCAATCCCTGGAGAAAGATGCTTGGTAAAGTTGAGGGTCAGTGAGAAAGAGGAAGACCCTCACTCAACGAGATGGACTGCCACAGTGGCTACAACAATGGGCTCCAACATAGCAATCATTGAAAGGATGCCACAGGACAGGTAGTTTTGTTCTGCTGTACACAGGGTCACTGTGAGTAAGAACCCAGTCGACAGCACCTGACAACAAAGTAGAAATAGGTATGTGCACTTGGTCTGTCAACCTGATTCCAATCTCTCTAGACCACATTCTTCTGCTTCTGTTACTAGTATCCTGCAATGCTAAATCCTCAGACAACTTTTATTATTTACTTTCTAGATGACATGTAGATGGCTGAGAGGGCTCTGGCATACATGCCAAAAGTGACCAGCAGTCATGTTCTCTTGGGGCCTTGGACCAACTGCTGTTGCCTCATCTTCTATCTTTCCCACTTTATACACTGTTTCTCCTGTGAGTCTAGTGAATCTGAAGTAAAGGCTTTAGAGGCTAGTCACCCCTAAATTAAGGATGTAATTTGAATTTTTTAATGTGCCAGGTGCAAAGCAGTAAATTATAATAGTTAAAAACATGAATTTTAAGCCAGATACAAGAGGTCATATATTGCATGGTTCCATTTACATGAAATCTCCAGAAATCAGTAAATCCACAGACACAGAACATAGATTGATGGTTGCCTAGGACTGAGGGTAGGGAAGTGGGGAAAGGATGAGGAGAAACTACGTAATGGCGATATGTTTCATTTTGGAGTGATGGAACTGTACTGGATCTAGACAGAGCTGATGGTTGCACAGCACTGTGAATATACTAAATTCCACTGAATTGTTCATTTTGTGTTGATTTTGTTAGGTAAATTGCACCTCAATAAATTAAAAAGCCAAGAAGATAAACATGAGTTTAAATCCCAGCTCCCTTGGCAAGCTGCTTTATCTCTGTAAGACTTAGTTTCTTCACTTATAAAATAGGGATACTAATTATCCCAGTATCTTTGGAGTAGCTGGGAAGATTCTATGTGTACGCAGATGGTAATAAATTCTTACTAATAAGTTAATAAATGTTAAATATTATTATTAACATTGAAATTTAGTCCTTGAACCACAAAGATACACAAGATGCAGTTTTCT